TGGTGAAATGTATTTCACACATTGTAACTGGAGCATATTCAGTTAATCTCAAGCATCCTATGTGGGTTATGTGAAAATTGTACTATTTTTAAAGATGTGTTCATTGATATAAAGAAATTTTAGCTACTAAAGTGGGCTACGAATTATAACTTTAGTCTGGTAGGCATTTTAGTATTTATGTTCCAAATACTCTTGGAAGTATTATAGTGGTTTCTTACAAAACTCTTCATTTATTTGCATAGCAACTCTGAATTTTCTCTGAATTATGAGTGTCATGTTTCTGTTAGACCCAAGATTCATATATGACATATGATTTATAACAATGCCAACTGGAGAGAGCACCCCATATTTATTCTTTTGTCTTACATTTTTCTCAGGTCCAACTCATGATTGAAAACTGCCTCTCCAATGTAGGAGAAGACATCACGTTCCTGTTTGAGATGAGGTCAGTGATTTGTATTGGAGAGAAGGCTACAGGAGAGGTGCCCTCTGCTGATGTGGCTTCTGGAGTCATGGCTTCCAATGAAGTGGCCTCAGGCAAGGTGGCTTCCTGCCAGGTGGCTTCTGGATACACGGTTTCCAGTGAGGTTGCTTCTGGGTTCATGGCTTACAGTGAGTTGGCTTCCAGAGTCACGGCCTCAGGTCAGATGTCTTCAGGCCATGTAGCGTCAGGCGATCATTTCCAGGTTGTTTTCAAAAGGGTAATTTCAATAAAGGTAGTTTGCTAAATCACCCCATATTATTTATAATAACATTTCATTGTTTAGAAAAGCAACATGAAGCCTTATACCATATAATGTACATTAGAAAATGTGCAGCTAAACCTGAAACTATTTTTAAGAAAGCACAGGACTCAGTGTTGACTTTGCTCTCTGACTTTGTATTAGAGTAGCTGAGTATATAGCTTATATCATGGGACAGACTTTTCTTCTTAATGATATTCTCCTATTGAAGCTAGATAATTGAATAGATTTGGACAGGTTAGAAGCAAAATCTTGTTAAGAGTAGGGACACCAGGCAATGTATAGTTTCTTAACCTATCTCTTGACGTGCACTATATGGCACACTTGGACATGCTGGCATACAGAATATTCTGCTGGTTTTAAGAATGTGTTTGCTTTCTTCCTTATCTCCTTATCTCCATTTAAAAAATGTTAGTATGAGTGCATACTTCTGAAGGCTGCTAAATCAAGTGAGGGATAGGTGTGGGACCTGTTTTGAGGGGAGGAGACTGATGTGTAGACTGCCTTAGGCCCCCTAAGTGAGGGATAATTACTTTAACAATACTGGAATGAACATTTCTTTTTGCTGAGTAGTACATTATATCACTCACTTCAATGAGGTGTCGGCAGCATCATTCATGTTAGAGTGGAAGAAAGTGAAGCTCAAAGAGTTTTGAGTAACTTGTCTAACTAAAGAGAACCAGGAGCCCTTCTTGTCATCTGTTCCAGCACAATGAGCATTGGTCCTATGTGAGTGTTCTTGGTGATGCACTCAACATCTTAGAGATACCAAGTGGATAGTAGTTTAAAAATCCTTGGTTAAATATTGCTCACCTGTTTATCTTTCTGAAACTAAACTCCTCAACTGACTTTTTCAAGATTTGGAATAAGAAGATTATTAAAGGAAATATTCAAATACTCATAGCAGAGCAGTAGAAACTTTGACCTCAAATTCTTTATTGATGATTAATTTTTCCTCCAAAAGCTCTTCTTTTGCCTTCCTTTGGCAAGGCTGTTGCATAGTTAAAAATTTATCAAATCTGGGTAGCTTGACAGTGTGTCACAGGGAACAAACACACCTGGTATCTTACCATACAACCCAGGACTTACTGGAGACAGTGGAGTCAAGTCATCCATGGAACTGCCTGAGAGCTGCAGCCTCTGGAAGGAAGGAGCCCGAGGTTGACTGAAAAGTGAGGCAAGGTGGTCTGTATTCTGAAGACTGCTTTGATGGGAGAGAGCTAACCATGGTTGGGCACTCCAGAAAACAAACAGAAAATCCTAATGGCAGGAACTTACTATGATATTGAATAATTAATAAACTCTGTTTGATTTAGCTTACTGCAGTCCTGATCTCCTGGTCTCAATGGGTCCCCTCACCTCAACCTCCTGAATACCTGGAATTACTGATGTGCAGTGCTGAACATTTAATATTTTTAGCTCTGCAAATGGTATATGACACCAGAACCCACTATCATTCTTAGAATTGGGAGACTTGTACAGCTAGATGTTAAGTACCTCATGATAGAATGCAACAGGTGGTAGATAACACTGTTGAGGATGGATTTCTGCTGAAAAGTGGAATATACGTCTGTCCAAGCCTGTAGGTTTAACTTCAGCCTTCAGGATATGGGTGAGAAGAACACATTAATAATAGGATGCAATTAGTCAATGTCATAATGTGGGCAATTCTACACAGCAGGTGATTCAGTTTCTGTCTCTTCTTGGCATTGCAACAAATGTACTGTAAAAAGGAAATACAGTAAGTGCCCTACATATGAAGCTTCAAGTTGCAAACTTTAAAAGATACAAATATTTGTTTACATATCCAAGCACATGACTTAGTTCACATGTCTGATGTACATTGTAGTGCATATTAATCCTCTCCAAGTTGTTGTGCTTCTGTATGTTTGTTTTCTTGATGTATTATTTGTGTGAAAAGTACTATAATTTTTACTGTACGGGACCATATAGCCAATTATATTATTTGAGTACCTAGGCTAACTTTGTTGGACTTATGAACAAATTGGAATTACAATGTGCTCTCAGAAGAGAACTCATTATTTGCAGGAAGCTTATTGAAGTGGAAATAAAGTTAAGTCAATTCAATGACTACATTATAATCTCACTTTTTACAGAATCAAGGAGATATGGTCGATGACGACCTGTGCCTTTTTTCACTGGGAGTCTCAGCCTTCAGAGTGAAGAGGCTTCACAGGCCCCAAAGCCAGTACAGCTCTTTGGTGTCCCTCTTAGTGATACCTGTGAAAATGACAACCTACCAACCTCTGTTCTAGTAGGTCTCATTTTGGTCTTCCATAGCCCTCTTAAGGAGAGAGAACTCTAGGGGGTTGAGTGGTCTCATACAAATCTCTCCCCTAAATGGAGAAACCATTAGACAACCCCTAGTTTGGCAGAGATTTGTCAATGTTATTTCAAAGAATGAAAATCTGATTGAGGTATTACAGGATCATAAGACAAACACAAGAGGGAGAAATACTCTGACTGGTTTCAGCAAAGACTCACATACACTTGCTCACATCTACTGTGTGGATGAATACCTGTGGCTTCACCTCCCCTCACATTCTCTCTTTAGCTTCTTCTTTGAACTCTTCACAAGTGTGAAGTCCTCTTTGCTTACCTGGTTACCTGAGACTACTCAAGATTACAGTTCAAATCCTATCTCACCTGTATTAGGGGTGGTATCTGTTTTGTGGGGAGGATAGTGATGTCTAGGCTGCACAAGGCCATCTGAGTTAGTTACCAGGACTGCTGTAAACAATTCTTTTTGGTGAGTAGTACATTATGTTACTCACCTAAGTGAGGTGTACATACCATCATTCATGTTAGAGTGGAGCAAAGAGAACTTCAGTGTTTTGAGTAACTTGTTCAACTAAGGAGCACAAGGAGCCCGTCTTGTCATCTGATCCAGCACAATGAGCATTGCCCCATGTGAGTGTACTTAGTGATGCACTCAACATCTCAGAGAAGCCAAGTAGATGAGTAGTTTAAGAATCCTTTGTTAGAAATTGCTCACCTGTTTATCTTTCCCCAACTCAGTTCCTCTATTGACTTTTTCAGAATTTGATATAAGTAGGTTATTATTAAAGGAAATATTCAAATACTCATAGCAGAGCAGTAGAAACTTTGAACTCAGATTTTTATAGATAATTAATTTTTATTTGAAAAGCTCTTCTTTAGCATTTCTTTGACAAGGCTGTTGCACAGTTAAAAATCACATCTGAGTCACAGGGAATGAACACACCTGGGATCTTCCTATTACAACCAAGGACTGACTGGAGACAGTGAGTCAAGTCATCCATGAAGCTGCCTGATAGCTGCAGCCTTCAGGAGGAAAGAGCCCAAGATTGACTAAAAAGTGAGGGCAGGTGGGCTATATTCTGAAAGTCCCTTTGATGGAAGAGAGCTGATCATGTTTGGGCACTCCAAAAAGACAAACAGGAAAACTGAGTGTCAGGAGACTTACTATAAAATTGAATAATTACTAAACTCTGTTAGATTCAACTTATTGCATTTCTGATCTTCTGGTATCTTTGGGTCCCCTCACCTCAGTCTCCTGAATACCTGTAATAACTGGTGCACCACCACATTTGAGTACCTTTAGCTCTAAAAATGGTATATGACACTTGAATCCACTATCATTCTTAGCATCAGTAAACTTGTACAGCTAGATGTTAAGCACAACATTGTTGAGGAAGAGTTTCTTCTGGAAGAATGGGATATATGTCTGTCCAAGTCTGTAGGTTTTACTTCAACTGACTGAATATGGGCCGGAAGAACATATTAATACTACAAGAATACAATTAGCTAATGACATAATATGGGTAATTCTGCACAACACGTGATTCAGATTCTCTCTTTTCTGGCCATTGCAACAAACATACTGTAAAATGAAAATACAGTAAGTTCCCTACATATGAAGCTCCAATTAAAAACTTTCAAAGATGCAAATATGTGTTCACATGTCTAATCACGTAAGTTAGTTCATGTGTCTTATGGACTTTGTCATGCATATTAATCCTCTCCAAGTGGTTGTCCTTTTGTATATATGTTTTTGTGGGTATTATTTGTGGAAAAGTACTTTCACTTTTACCACACAGTACTACATAGCTGAGTATGTTAATTGGGTACCTTTGTGGAACTTATGATCAAATTGGACTTTGAATGTGCTCTCGGAGGAGAACTCCTTCGTTTGCAGGAGACTTACTGAAGTAGAAAGAAAGTTAAGTCAATTCAACGACTACATTTAATAATCTCACTTTTTACAGAATCAGATCAGAAGGTGGTTAAGAGGAGATGGCCCATGATGAACTGGGCCTTTGTTCAGCAGTCCAACAGTGGCAAGAAGATGGTCGATGATAAACTGGGCACTGGGCATCTCAGCGTTCAGAGTGAAGAGACTCCACCAGCCTCAAAGCCAAAACAGCTCTTTGGTGTTCCTCTCAGTGACATTTGTGACAACCTGCCAACCCCTATTCTAGTATGTCTCATTCTGATCTTCCGTAGCCCTCTTAATGAGATCATACTTGGAAGGGTGGAGTGGTCTCGTTCATATTGCACTCATAAATGGAGAAATCATTAGACAACCCCTAGTTTGGCAGAGATTTGTCAATGTTATTTTGAGTAATGAAAATCTGACTTAGGTATTGCAAGATCATAAAAGAAACACAAGAGGGAAAAATACTGATTTCAGCAAACACACCCATGTTCTTCCTCGCATGAATCAGAATAGGCTCTGAGTGCATGAATCTCTGTGAATCACCTCCCCTCACATTCTCCCGTCAGCTTCTTCCTTGAACTCTACACAAGTGTCGAGTCTCCTTTGCTTACATGTTGTTATGAGACTACTCAAGCTTACAGTTCAAAATATCTCACATGTATTTGATTTTTATTTCAAGTATTAAACATAAAAATTTATCTTTGGGCATACCTTTTTATCTTAACAGACTCTATTAAATTAAAGCCTCAGAGTTTGGCCTGTGTTATTTCAAGTGACTGCACAAAATTGTCAATGGTAACATTAAGTGTCTCATATCTCACCAAGCACTATACTAGCTATAGGGAATTTTATGTCCACTGTGAAGGAATGTATAATTTCAGGTACATGCTGGACATTACCCCAGACCTTGCATCTTTCCCAACATTTTTAGGGGATGGCAGATTATCGTTATCTCTACTCCACAAATTCATTCTTAAAAAAGTTTTAACAAAGTTGTATAGTGTGCCCAAAGTAATGCAGCAAATAAGCCACACAGTAGATAAAAATTCCTGAGCTCCCTGACTATAACACTTACTGTCTTGTCACACTACAAACAGAGGGCATGAAGATGAAGCAGAAGCAAAAACACACAAAACACTGCTGAGAAGAAAAACGTAATCAGAGAAGACTTCAGGGAGGAGATAGGTCTTCAGCCTAGTTTTCATAGAACATAGAGAATCAGGAAGTAGGAAGGGGGGCATATAATCCCTTACAAGGGAGGAAATAAGTGGAAAATGAGCATAGTGAAATGATCTCCATACTTGGGGAAGAGAATCCATATTGGAGATTAATCAGAGAAGGATTGGAAGTGGGAGAGGTCGCCTCAACAGATTCCTTAACACAGAGAAGCATCATTTCAAAGTGTAAATTCATGGGAAAGGAAAATCTGATTTAGAATGCATATGTGTATGCATATGGAATGGATCAATGATGAGAAAATACAGCGATGCCAGTGAATGTAAAATGATTCCATTCTTTAGCTCTGGCATTTTAACCCACATACTGCAGCTCTCTTGTTCAAAACTGGGGCAAGCTTGTCCTCCAGGCTTGTGAATAGGAAGTGCCATGTACTTTTCTTCCTTTTTCTTCCTTGCAGGATATGCTTTCATTTGTGAATCAAAATGGCCACTCACAAAGGGCATCTTTGGAAAATCTGCCACTCTGAAGTCATGTAGAGTTCTCAAGGATAAGCTGAATTCTGGAGCTGTAGTGGACTTGGACAATGAGTCTGCTCTTGTGGTGGCATCTGTCTTAAAGGTAGGTAGAGTTCTAGCATCATCTACACAGGGCATAACGCTGATGCTGCAGGATTGGTATAGTACAGTAATTATAGGCATAATAGATTCAGAATCAAAGAAGCTAAAAACACAGTACAAAGTCAAAATGTAAGGAAATTGTTTCCCTTGGTTGTTAAAAAGTCCCAAATGAGGACACCCCCTCGGGTCCCTTCCCACTCTGTGAGCTTTTCTGTCCTCTCAATAAACCTGGCTTTCGGGGAAACAAATGGAAACCCCGTACGTCAGGTAGACTTTCCTTTGTCATCACATACCACCCTATCTATCTTCACTCCTGAACATTCTATGCACAATAATAATAATTAGTAATAATAATAAAATACATTTTAAGATACACATACAGAATGTTTACCAAATTAAGTATCCTACATTTGTTGATGTCCCACTGCCTCCTCATGAGGACAGCATCTCCAAATTCTTATTAAACTTTGAAAATAGTTATTGACGTGTACTATAGTAAGTAAATATTTGCCTTACGATGAACCAAAAACCACTCATAGGGGTGACCAACGGTTCCATTCATTTCATCATCATTCCTTCCCTAGTCTCTTAATGTCCTTACTTTAAAAGTGGTATAGGAATGACTCCAGCATTGGTGTTTCACCTTTACGACATTGGGGTTCCTTTGTTTAAGATTTCTGTGGCTTATTCCACCACCCAGTTCTAGTTAACACAGTAACCTGCTCCTGCCATAAGCCTCTTAGATACCTGACTTTTAAAAGGGATGCGGCAGCCAACATTAGTTTGAAATTCTGAAAATGCAATTGATTTATTCAGATCAATCCCAATTGAAGTTTTGAACTAATACAAAGAAATCACAATTGTCCAGATATATTTGAACAAAGGCAAATAAGACCACAGAGAATTTTGTCCATTCGATATTGGTGCTTGTTAACAGCTCTGAACCAAAATATGATATTGTTGTAATGACCCAAAGACGTTCTTAAAGTTATCTTAGAATCTCAGTGGTGCTTGGTCTTTCCTTATACCCAATTAGTGTTCAGCCGTATGAAGACAGGCAACATTTAGTAATGGCTAATAGTGGACCACTACTATGCTCAGGCAATAGTGTTATGCACTGTGTTTGCAAATAAAAAGTTGGGTGTTGCCCTTTGTAAGTTACACGCATCCAGTAGATTTAATTTTCCAGGAAGCCTTGGAGTTACTGGTCTGTAGAGTTTACAATATTGACCTTGATAATCCCATGCCAAAAACTGGAGAGTTGGCCTAAACCAGAAATGAATATGTTATCTGGACTACATGGAATTTGCATTTGAGTTGTCTGTAAGTAGTGGTCCAACAGAAAGTACCCATTGGTATATTCTGCTTGGGTCAAGTTCTGGCTTTACACCCAGTCCCAAAAAGGAATCTGTAGCCTAGAGTCCAGGAAACTGGGGAGAATTATCTTAGAATCTCAGTGACACTTGGTTTTTCCTTATCCCCCATTAATGTTCATTCATATGATAAATAGCAACATTTTAGTAATGGCTGACAGTAGACCACTACTCTGCTTGGACCATAGTGATACAAACTTAGGTGTGCAAATAAAAACATCAGACAAAGATGTTCCCAAACCTGGTCCCTGCAAGACCCCCTGAGTCTACGAGAGCTGGAGTGCTTCCTCCTTCCGCACACATAGGGACCACTTCATAGGAAGCAATGTACAGCTAGAACTACCATGAGCAGGTATAGGACGTGACCACAAGTGACGTCATATTCCAGGAAGGTATAAGAGGACAGAGACTCTGTTATTGCCTGTACATTTCTATCCTAGTACTCCAGACCATGCCTAACAGCTCAATCAGGAGACTGTGAACACTTACTGGATTATATGATCGTGGCCTACAGGCAATTCCTGAACTAGTTACTATTAAGTTTTTAACTGTTTAGTGACACCAATGGAAACAATGGTGTGCCATTGTAGCTAGAAAGGTGATGTGACAACTTTCCCTCATTCTTGCATGCATGCACAGACACATACACACACACACACACACATACACAGGAAGCTTCATCAATCCTAATAGACCAGATTTTATGATATTAAATCTTGTTCATCAGTCATGCAAAGTGACACATTTTTCAGACCACCACTTAGGAATTTTACATTTGCAATATGCCTCTAGCAATGATATGCAGAGGCCTGAAGTTGTGATGTGTCTAAATTTGGATTAGGCTTTCTTTTGAGGAGAATGTATATGTTTCAACCCAGGGGTTATAAGTAGTAACATGTAGTTACTCATTGCGGGTATGGATATATATACAGCAAGGTATTAATTTCAAAGTGTTGAAGTTGTATACAGTTCAAAGAAACGACAAGTTAACCTATTGTGAGAGCTTTCTCCCAAAAAGCATACACAGCCCAAATCAGATGACTCAGTCTTCCCTCACAAAGTGCATGTAGTTCCATTGTTTCCCAAGTTTTCCTGCTAGAAATTAAAGGCACTGTGTCTCAGTAAACAAACAAAATGTACACTTTTTTTTTCATTGCAAAAAGTAATAGGTTTGAGCATGATTTATCAGTAGACCTTGTCAATTTGTACTATTTTGCTAAAATGTACATAAAAAAGAAGTTTCAGACCCTAGAAGAAGACTTTATCTTCATTCCCACCACTGCCTAGACTCTGCTTTTTTCTTTTAGTTGAAGTTGGAGAAAACCCAAGCACTTGCTTCTGAGTGTGCAAGTCAGGAAACCTTGGAGTCAAGCACTTTGTAGGTCGCAGTTTGGGAAGCTACGAAGAACAGAGAACCTAAAGTAAATTTCCTAATGAAATGTTTTTATCTGGTATATATTGACAATAAGAGTATGTTTTTTAATCCCTGAAAGGATTTTATTCGCAACATCCCAGGAAATATATTTCCGACAAAAGTCCATGATAAATGGCTTGATGTGATTGATCAGCGGGACAAGGAGGAGAAAACAACTGCAATCCAGAGGTAATGATGCAATAATTACTTTGGTCATAGCTAAAAAATGTAACCATCCTAAATTTAAAACAAATTAGCCTATATTTTATAGCACTATTGACTGAAATAATGACCAATGCCAAAGGGTCTCATTTGGTCACACATGGAGGCCAGTTTAAAAATAGATATATGCCTTAGTATGGTCATTAAATTCAATTTTTTCTCTTCATTTTATTAATATGAAATTCTTGACCATTGTACACATTCTGAATATATGCCATTGATAGGAGATGAAACCGATTGGTCCAAGAAAAAAAAATGGAGGACCAATCTATTGGTATGATTTTCACTTTTTCAAGAGGCAGCATTCATATATTGCTACATTAAAAAGGAAGTGAGCCCTTTCAAATGATAACTTCAATATCATCAATATCATTAATAACTTTTTTAACACATTCTAAAATGTTACAGGGTATTTTAATGTTCTATTTGATAATAACAATTTCCTTCCGTGTTAAACACTTTGCACTGGTTTCAGGGAAATAGTTTAAGACATATTTATTTATTGTTTTGTATATTAATTGCATTGTGTACATGGTATACGTAAAAAGTACTCTGTTGTTTGCATTCTCTGTATTTGCAACTTGCTCAGTAAAATTACTTGCTTTAGGATTGCATTTTACTTTATATAGACTCTTTGACCAGCTTCCAAAAAGCAAGGCTCTACTCCTGAGATGCCTGATAGGAGTACTGTACATCAAACAAAAGTCTTCAATCAGATGACTGCGTACAACCTAGCAGTTTGCATTGCCCCCAGCATTCTTGGGCCACCTACTTCCTGCAGCTCTGAAATAGAAAAAAAGCTTACAAAACAGGTAATGAGATCTCTTATTTTTACATCCTAGGGAGAAGAATCCCCACATTAAATAGGAAATTTCAGGATGTTAATTCTGAGGAAGCATTTTTTAAAGGTGTACACATCAATTACACTTCTGGAGTGGCAGAGTCATTTATCCTGTCCTGGGAAGGGTGGTTGGTAATGAGAATGAAGGTTGTTAAGCAGGAAATGGGGAGCAGTGAGTCACTTCTCCTTTCCCATTTAGGCAGTAGCACACTAGATTGTCTAAAGCATATTGAGATAAGAAGTAGTGTGATAAGATAGAAAGGACCTGGGCTTTGGAGCATGAGCCATGGAATTCAACTTTTGGTCTCCCCATTGAAGGATGTGGTTACACCAATGGCACACAAACATTCCAAGCCACAGTTTCCTCAGCTGAACCATGGCAGTGGTGACCATGGCCCTCTATTTGGTCATAACTGACACTTCACAGGTGGTTGAGGTCATGTGAGCACCCCTGGCACCACATAGATAACCTTTCTTTGTCCATTGTGACAATTGGCATCCCCAGAAATGCTTGCCACGCTTCATCTCTGCTAACTGAGTGAGTTTAAATGACTCCACAATCTTCTACCAGAGCTACAGTATCTCCAGCACAATCACATCATTTTGCCAAGCTCATCCAGAGAGTATTCCTGAGACCAGGCTCTCCCCAATGCATGGGATTTTACTGCCATTTTTCAGCTCCTTCCTTTCTTCACAAAAGACCCACAGAGATTCTCTGCTTCCTAAGTTTAAGATACTTCACTTAAGAAGTGAATTTCACAAGTTTTTGCCTACTGGGTGCTTTATACATTGTAACTGGAGGGATTCATATAGTCATCTCAAGTATCTATGTGGGTTATATCAAAATTATACTACTTTTTAAAATGTGTCCATTGATATAAAAAAATTATAGTTATTCATGTGGGCTTCAATTTATAACTTTAGTTGATAAATATTTTACTATTTATGTTCCAATGCTATTGAAAGTATTATAGTGGTTTCTTACAAAAAAATTTTCTATATTTGTATAACAACTCTGAATTTTTCTCAGAATTATGAATGTCATGTTTCTGTTAGCTCCGAGATTCATATATGAAATATGATTCATAACTATGTCAACTGAAGAGAGCACCCCTCTTCAGTTGACATAGTTATATTTTATGTTATGTCATTTGTATTTTATAGCGTTTGTCTTTTTGTGTTACAGGTTGCTCTTGTAGAGTTCCTGACTGAAAACAACCTCTCAATATTTGAAGAAGACATCACTTTCTTTTTTGAGAAAAGCACAATATGTTATAATGGAGAGAATGCTGCAGGAGAGGTGTCTTCTACAGACACAGCTCCCGTCTAGGAGGCTTTATGTGAGGTGGATTGTGGAGATATGACTGCCAGAGAGGCAACATGAACTCTCTTATACCAAATAAAGTCCATTATAAAATGTACAACACAGCCTGAAACTATTTTCAAGAAAATACAGGACTCAATGTCTACTTTGCTTTCTGACTTTGTCACTAGAGTAGCTGGGTGTATAGCTTTATATCATGGGATAGACCATTCTACAGGTGAGATGGCCTCTGCTGACATGGCTTCTGGAGACATGCCTTCTGATGAAGTGGCCTCAGGTGAGGTAGCTTCCTGCCAGATGGCTTCTGGATACATGGTTTTCTGTGTGGTGGTTTCTAGGTACATGGCTTTCTGCGAGGTGGCTTCCAGAGACATGGCTTCAGGTGAGGTATTTTCAGGCAAGGTGGCCTCAGATAAAGTGGTTTCAGGCGTGTGCTGTAGGATCAGCTAACTGATTCCATGTGGCTGTTCCTCATCTCTGCTATGTACCCTGCAATCTGTCCATCAAGCTTCCAAGTGAATGTCCTGATTTTTTCTCTTTTGTGCTGTCTCAGCAAGGGGCAGTATGCAGAAGCCATCTCCATTTTATTTAACAACAGACATTTATTTAGCACCTACTATGATGAGATCATGGTGCCTGGGCAGATGAGGAATCATGAAGTAGGCCTGGTATCACTCTTAGAAGCCAAACCCAGGCTCAGCTCACTGTGAAGTTCTCAATAAATATTGCTAATCAATAGACTACTATCAAAAACACAAAAAGAGATTTTCATTGTAGAGATACAATTTCTACTGGCAATTTACATGATATGAAGTGCAGAAATCATCATTTCATGATGGCCATAGAGTCTTTATATTTCTCTTCCATACCTCAAGACTGAGAAGATTTGCTCTTTAACATGACATAAATATCAGAATGACTTAAATAAACATGAAATAGGGATCAAATAAATATATTTCATTGACCCGAATAATCTACTAAACATGACTTTTAAAAATGTAATATTTGAAATATATTGAACAAAAAAATCAGTCTGCTGTTTTTGAATAAAAATCTTTGTTCCAAAGTGTAAAGAGAGAGGGAAAAAATCCTCTAAGAAATGTGAGATTCTATGAGAACCTTTGCACATTCAAATTCACTGTAAGGAGCTGCAGGTTCTGGCTTATTTTATTCTTTGGAGCTGTTTTCACCACAGGCTCTTTTCTTCTTTTCTTTTCCCGATGAAATCAGATAGCAAGAAGAATGTCAAGGCAGGTGTTTGTAATCTTCCTTTCTTTTAGTGGATTTGTTGCTCTAAGAATAAAATCCTCACGTGGCTGAAGGAAGACAGACCTAGGCTGGACAAGAACTGATTCCCTAGACACACCCCTAAAGATGTCCCTCTAATCTATCAGGAATTGCTCCTGGGCCATTCCTTGGTCTCTCTCTCTCTCTCTCTCTCTCTCTCTCAACATGGTCTCATGGTCTTGCTCTGTCATCCAGGCTGGAGTACAGTGGTGCAATCATAAGTAACCACAGCCTACAACTTTTGGCCTAAGCAATCCTCCTGCCTCACCTCCTGAGTAGCTGGAACTGCAAACATGTACCACCACACCTGACTAATTTTTTTAATTTTTTGTAGAGACAGGGTCTCTCTGTGTTTCTCAGGCTGGTCTTGAACTCCTGGCCTCATGTGCTCCTCCCAATTGAGCTTCCCAAAGTGCTAGAATTACAGTCATGAGCCACCGTGCCCAGCCAGGTTTTTCTTTGGAATCAGCTAAACCCAGGGGGCAGATTAGGGATGCTGGATGATCTCTGCTTAAAGGCAGGACAGAAAGCAGAGGTGGGGTTAAGGGTTAAGTGGTTCGAGTTGGTGTTTCTGTTTCCCAATCTAGGCCAGGGAACATCCTTAGGGCAGCGACTGTGTCTTCTTTGATTCCCCAGGGACCATCCCATAGTGTCTAATGTACAGTAGATACTCAGTAAATGCTGCTTGATTACATGAACTAGTGTGGTTATGTTGCTGAGGACATAGATTTCTTTTTTTGGTCTTTGTGTATCTAAAAGGCATCAACTCCCCTTCTCTTTATAGAATGAAAAGAAACTTTATTAATAAATCCTTTTATAGCTAAAGTATTGTGCTGACGGTATGATGTGTGGAAAGAAACTTTAAATATTAAGGATTTTTTTAATATTGGCAAAATAAATTAAATTAAACATAAATTCACCAGTCAGTGGGAAAGAAAAACCAAGGGTCTGATTTTATAGTCAAAGAGACATTTGCCTCAAGGCCCCTTCAGTTGGACTTTTCCTGAATTCCAACCCCATTTAACCTCCTGTTGAATGGTTGTCTCGTTAGCAAAATCTAGAGGGTGAAACCCACAGTTTCCTTCCCTTTCTGTGATACTCTAGGGGCCATTCTGAGCTACAAACACGTGTTCTGCTTCTTCCTGAAAGCCCTCTGAACAGACAGGAAGTGGTATTAGCAATGACCACTGCCTAGAGCCTGCAACTGAAACCACCTATGTCAAATTAGCATAGGGCCACAAGGTAAAAGCTGTAGAGGACACCCCAGCTCCACAAAGTTTCAGCTATGGTTAGAAATTAACAAATCTGTTGTTTCTAAGCTTGCTTTCACTTCAATAGTGAACAATTGATTGTCTTCATGTCCTGACCCCTGCAGGAACAGGGGGAAGCTGCTTGAGAGGCTGATAAACATACTTTCCCTTAAACAATGAACCCGAGGTCACACAGATCTTGATGGCATCCTGAAGTTTGATAGGCCAAAGGGAGAGAGTAGTTTTCATCCCTGGTGAACTCACTTTCTGCATAACTTATCCTGTAATAGCTTACTGCCCAGGGGTCAGTAGCCAATGGTCATGAAACTTCCTTTATAGATAGCATCTGTTATAAAACCTAAGAATGGTGTTTGAGATGTTTTTCAGTCTTTACACTCTGATGGACCCATGGCCCCAGCTGGCCCTGGGATACATGCCAAGGAGCTGGCTCTACCGTTCTGTGATGCCCCCTCCCAGAAACTGGCTCTGTGCATAAAGACAGTGCCAATACCTCCCTATGATTTCATCCTCAACCAATCTGCTGCACCCATTCCCTAGCCCCTGTCCACCAAATTACTCCTTAAAACATCCTAGCTTAAAACTCTAGGAGGTGGATTTAAGAAATGTCTCCCATCCTCTTTGCTCAGCTGCTTTCTGCTTTGTGATGTTAAACTTTCTCTACTGTTAACAACTGCACTAGTCTTGGTTTTTCTGGGCAGCAAACCTAACGCAGTCAGGCTGTAACACAGCTAATCCTCCTCAAACAAGCACCTCCTTGGGCTTCTTCTCCAACATGGCAGCAGCCATGCCCATGGCCGATCCAATCCCACCACTGCCAGCCCCACTCAGGGTGGGCATGTCTGTCCAATAAAAGTTATTTCCTTTCACCTTTGTCTTTGCTAGAAGGACCACACTTTTGTTGGATAGGGTTCCCTCTACTCCATGTTCAGGGAAGGTGACCCTGGGGTAGCTATTGATCGGTCTAGGCCAGGGTTTGGTGAACTTTTTCTGTAAATTTCCTTAGAATATTATTTAAATATTCTGTAAATATTTCCAGCTTAGTGGTCTAGATAGCTTTTGTCACAACTACTCAACTCGAAGCTATTGTAGTGTAAAGTTAGTCACAGACATAGGAAGAAGTCTGCTAAGAGGTTGTTCTCTGACAAAAAGGAGAGCCTTCCCTTCCTTTTCTTTTCTTTTCTTTCTTTTTTTTTTTGGAGTTGGGGATCACTCTGTCACCCAGGCTGGAGTGCAGTGGCATGATCACAGCTCACCACAGCCTTGCCCTCCTGGACTCAGACAGTCCTTCTCCCTCAGTCTCCCAAGTAGCTGGGACTGTAGGTGTCACCACCACACCTGGCTAATTTAAACATTTTTTTGGTCTCACTAACTTGTCCATGTTGATCTCAAACTCCTGTGCTCAAGCAGTCCTCTTGCCTCGGCTTCCCAAAGTGCTGGGATTACAGGCATGAACCGTCATGCCCAGTTCCCTTCTCGACTTGAAAGGAGTTGCATAAAGATGTGAGGCCTGGAGGTATGGTAGCCATTTGCAGTCATGTGAGACAAGCCTGAGGATGAAAACCCAAACTGTGGATGATGGGATAGAAATAGGGAGGCCACATGCATCCTTAATTCATGCCACTGAATTAACTAAACTTAGAACGGCCTACCTCCTGACTTTCTGTTGTGAAAATAGCCCTGTGTTGCTTAAGATATTTTCAGTTTGATTTCTGTTTGATTTGCAACCAAGAGCACTAACCAATAGAACCACTGCAGATTCCGGCTTCTTGATTATTTTATCACCACGGGCTGCCTTCATCATGGAAGCTGCCCCATTCTGTGGTCCAGCTGCTGCCCACCCTGCCCCTTCTGCAGCTGCCCCTCCATTCTAGCTTTGGCCCAGCCAGCCCTGCTTCTCTGTCTCACCATCAGTCTTCAGCACCCTCCACCTAGCTACCTAGCCTGTTGCCCTCCTTCCTCAAAGGACAGGGATTTTCCTCCAAAGGTCCATCAGTCAGGGCACCTGCAGATGTAAGTGACAGAAAATCCAACCCAAAATAGATGAAACATTTTTAAAAATGGATTTTGAATCCATGTGAATTGATCAGGTCACAGAGCTCAGCTGCACTGGGTCAGTCCAGCTTATCCGTGGGCTCAAACACAGCCATCAGGACTCAGGCTCTCTCCCGTTTCCAGCTGGGCTTTCCTCGGAATGCTGACCCTTCTCTCAGGCACACCGCCCCCTCGTGGCTGCATGATCGCTGCCAACAGTCCAATACTCGCACCTTGTTTTCTTGAGAAACTAGTTAGAGCCTCCCATCTTAACAGTTTCCGTAAGTATCCCTCATTTAGACTTACTGGCTCTGATTGGGTCACATACTTGATCGTGTTATTGTGGCCAGGGGTACAGTGCTCTGTCCAACCTGAGTGATTTACCTGTTCATGTAGCTGGGAGTGGCATCAGCTCCATCTGATCTAGATGAAGGTGTGTATCTATCAGGGGTCCAGCAGGAGACAGATGGCGGGCTCAAACGGGATAACCTGAAGAGAGTTTAATAAA